AAGATCCATCTGACGTAAGTAGACTAACGCAGGCTAACTGCAAGGCGGAGGACTGGGAAGTAAGGGGTCTGAGGACAAGACTGGGTCTCAGCAGCACTTGCTGGATTTTCTCTGAGTTTGATGTTTTAGTTCCATTTCCCCCAAAGCTTCAGAAAAGTTTCACTGAAAGTAAGACCGATTTCAGCTGTTCTGTAAGAAACCATGAGAAGTCACAACAGAAGGAGAAGGGAGAACAGTGTCTAAGCCCCAACAGCCAGAAAGATGGGACCAGAAGGTGGCAGGATAGCAGGTGAGCTGTATGCAGCCCAGGGTCCGCTAAGAGATGTCACCCTTCAAAAAGAGGCAGAAGTGCTGTAACACGGGAAAATGCAACAGCTGAGGAACCCTTAGCACACTAAGAGGGCCAGTGCTCTGAGAAACTCAGAAGACAGTGAAGGGCAGACCCTTAGCAGCTTCCACATATAGTGTGAAGGAAATAATTTCTAGAAAGAAGCTGAAAGTAATTAATCAAAATTTGGGATTCTTCAAGAGGGGGGCCAAATGGAAAAGCTAGTCTGTAGGAACTTTCCTTCCAAGCTTACCATGATTTTACTTTACATTTATTTGTGTGGCCAATTGAGTGTCTTTTTCCTTCTTTAGAAAGTAAACTTCAAGAGGGTAGGGACTGCACATGTTTTGTAATGTCAAAAATGTCAGGCTCAAAAAAGTAGCCAGGATAAAGAAACACTTTAAAATCAAAACACTTGTACTGCATGATTATTTTCACTTTTTTTTATTATTAACTTTTTATCTTGTTATAAAACATTACATATTATAAAGAAAAAACTGTATTTCCTTTTTTTAAAAAAAGTCTTCAGTATAATGTTGTGGCTTTAGTCTCTGATCTACAAATGTGCATTTTGAAAGGCAAGTAGATATAATGTAAAAGGTTGTTGTTGTTGTTATGTGCCATCGAGTTGCTTGCAACTCACAGCAACCCTATATACAATAGCCCTAAACCCTGCTCTGTCCTGTGCCAATCTCACTCTGTTCAACACACCCATGCAGATTATTCCAGTCACTGAATCAATCTACCTCATAGAGGGTCTTCCCCTCCTACGTTGTCCCTCCACCCTCCCAAGCATGATGTCCCTTTCCGAGGACCTCTCCCTCCTTGTAACATGTCCAAAGTATGTCAGACAAAGCCTCAGAATCCTTGCCTCCAAGGAGCAGCCTGGTTTAACCCTCTCCAGGAAGAATCGGTTTGTTTTCTTAGCAGTTCACAGTATATTCAATACTCTTCTCCAGCACCACAGCTCAAAGGCATCAATTCCTTTTCTATCCTCCCTAGACATTGTCCAACTCTCTGACGCATAACAAGTGATTGCAAAGACCATGGCTTGTATCAGGCACACCTTACTCTCCAGAGTGACACCATTGCTCTTCAGTACTTTGGAGAGGTCCCGAACAGCAGACTTTACCATCATGAGATGTCTTTTAATTTCTTGGCTGCTGGTGCCAAGAGTATTGACTGTGGAGCCAAGAAAACTAAAGCTGTGAACAATCTCAATCTCTTCATCATCCATCCTGATGCTGCCAATTGGTCCAGTGGCGAGAAGTTTTGTCTTCTTGACATTGAGCCTCACTCCATATTGAAGGCTGCAGTCCTTGACCCTCTGCAGCAAGTGTATGAGGTCCTTCTCAGTTTCAGCAAGCAGGGTTGTGTCATCTGCATAATGCAGATTGTTGATGGATCTTCCACCAATCCTGATGCCACACTTCTCATAGAGCCCAGCCTCCCCAGTAATCTGTTTCTGCATATAGGTTGAAAAGATATGGAGACAGGTATTCCCTGGAAATTCACAGAAACTCATTTAATTAATGATCATCTGCAATATCCAGTTTGATGACCCTTAAATACTTCAAGTTCTAGAGTGACTTCAAAATCAGAGAGTGAACTATATGTGGATGGAGTTTAGTATGAAGGTTTTACAAGTTTTTTAAAACTGCACACATAGGATCAAATTATTTTTCTGACTTCAACAACCCAGCATTGATAAAGTCACCACACCAGGCACTGAAGCATCTTAAGGAAGCATGAAATCCACCCCAATCTCTGACAACATGAAATATTTGCACTGATGGCTCTGAGACCAAGAGTTTGGCTCCACAGTGAGGGAAGGCTGTTTCAGAGAAGGTACTATAGGAACTGAGACAATAAACTGAGATATTTAGTGAATAATCTCTAGTCTGTTAGCCTAAGAAGCTTCTTGAGACTGGGAGAGAAGAAAAGTAATAAAATTTGTTTTTTATAAATAACACTGGGCATCATTTACTTCAAGCAGCAATAGGGCTAATGCTCATTTTAAAGCAGTTGTGCCACTTAGGGTGAGCAGCCCATTGGTGCTGGCCTTGCAGGGCTTTATGGAAACAGTACTGAATGCTCTGAATGCACAGAAAGACATTAATGCTACAGCTGAGGTGGCAGAGAGGGCTTCCCAGAACCTGCAGGGAACATGCATTTCTATAGCCTAGTCACCATAAAACACCTTGTATTTTGGTTTGGATGTTAACTTAATACAAAACTCCAGAAAAAGGAATAGGAAGTTCCTCTCCTTGCCACTCCACCCCTCCATTCCTTTTGAACTTGGAACCAGACCTCTGCGGAACTAGATGCTTATCTGAGAACAGTCCAAAGGTCAGTGCACAGAAATAACTCCCACCTCGTTCCCTGAGAGCTTTTAGAGGGAGCTCGGACACTGTGCTCACCTCCCCACAGCTTGGTAATTGCCAGGCTGGCTGCCCCAAGTCCCTTGCCCTGCTCACCTTTCACTGTAATGCATGGCACAGCATAATCATGAAATGTGCTTATTAATTTTACTCATTTGACACTATGCTCTTCTGCCCTGGGCACGATGTTAGGAGAAAATGATAGGGATAGATTCTGCTCCTGTCAGACTTACCAAGACTTTCAGAAAACCAAACTATCAAAGGCCATCTACCGCCCACTAACTGAGCATTCTGGATGACTCCAAAGGCACAAAGAAAATGTGAGAGATACAGATGTACAATAGAGACAGCAAGAGAATGGGGAACCTCCAACCCTGGACTTTCGCTCCTGGTGTGAGAAACCCCAAGCCCGTCCTCCCAATCGCACTTTTGAGCCTTGATTCATGATTTTATATCTCATTCATCAAAAGACACTTGGGCTTCTCAAATTAGGAACATTTTTATTAGCTTTCCCAAGAGTTTTATGGCACAAAGCCATACCAAATGATTCTATTTTATGGAAAGTTATACATTCAAAAAGTACTTTGAAGTCAAGCAGGAGGTAAGACTCAAATCTTTGTCAAATAAAATTCCTTCTTTCATTTTTAAAAATGTTTATAAGCTTTCAAAGAATTGGGAAAGTGATGGGAAACATTTTAACAGGCTATTTTTCCTCCACTGGGGACCCAAAGCCATTGCTGCCAAACTGATAGCAACTTACTATGGGGTTCTGTGGTCGTAAATCCTAAGGGGAGCAATGTCTTATCTTTCTCCCACAGAGTGACTGGTGACTTTGAATCACAAACCTTTTGGTTAGCAGGATAGATGTTATCCTATAAATCTGCTACAGAGGTAGGACAGATGGGTGACTTTGCCCAAAACCTGCTCCTCTTAGAAGTATCACCAATGTCTGGAAACCTTTTTAGAGTCACAGCTGGAGGAGTGGCACTACTGCCATCTAGTAGGTAGGGTACAAAGTGCTCCAAACGAATGACCTGACCCAAAATGCCAGTAATGCCAAAGTTTGAAAAATCCTGCCTAACAGTTTGTCCTGGTTCCTGCATTGTACCCCTTCCACTCTTGGGACATCAGACATCACCTCCTATAAGCACAGCTTTCTAATTACTGAGGCAGGTGTGGTTTTGGTGAACAGTCTATTCTTCAATGAATAAAAATAAAACACTGCCATAAGCAAAATGAAGGAAGTAAAAGTGAGATAACCTGAGAATCTCAGAACATATGACAATATTCAATGTTAATACTTTTTAAGCTTCTCCAAAATCAGAATGTGCCTACTGAAATAATACAGTAACCATCAGAGCGTCCGTGTACCACACTGACGTCAGTGGAAATGGGAGGAGGACAGTGCTTTGCTGAGCTGTGGCAGTGTGTCAGCCAAAGCTCGGGCTTAGGAGGAGACCAGGTCCTGCTTCATCACACTCAAGGACTAGCATTCAGTTACTTTGTTTTTTGTGATCTTTGGTTTTCATAAAATGTAGATAAAGCTAATTGTTCTCTGATTCTTCTGGAGTTGGGGGTTGTTAAATAAGTTTAGGGATAGAAAACTGCTTTGTAGGCTTGTAAAGAGTTATACAAATGTAGCCAAAACAAACCCAGTGCCATTGTCAGTTCTGACTCCTAGAAATTTCCATTAGGTTTCTGAGGCTCTAAAACCCTGTACTTGATCTTTTTCCTTCAGGGTGGCTGGTGGATTCGGACCACTAACCTTTTGGGTTGTAGCCCAACACATAACACTATGCCACTAGAGTATAAAATCATCAAAGATCTTTCACAGATTTTTGGATCCTTTGTACAAAATGTTACAAACAGAAGTCATTTTGGAGGTCAATAAAACTAATCCCTTGATTTTCGAGATGAAGAAGTCTAGGTAGTATAATGTACCATAAAAACTGGGCTGCTAAAGTAAAGGTTGGTGGTTCAAATCCCACTCATTGGTGATTTTTTTTTCCCCTCCCTGGATCCCTGGGACACAATGGTGACGTGCTTGGCTACTAAATGAAAGGTTGGTGGTTTGAACTCACCCAGTAGCTCCATGGCAGAAAGACCTGACTATCTGGTACCATAAAAAGAACCGGCTAGAAAGCCCTATAGGTGTGTCACATGGGATGTCTATGAGTCAGAGTAGACTCAACAGCACCCAACAAAAACAGCCACAGAGCTTCAAATATACAAGCTTGAAAGTCTCGAAAACAGAAAATAAACAAAATGTACAAGCTAGTATCTTCACTTACTACATCATAGCCTGTTGGGGCTCTGTTCCTAGAAGCCACCACCCCCACTCCTGTGATGGGGTCCATTGATGTTTCCGGCAAGGCTTCTGAAAGGTCTTTGACTTCAGGCATGGTGGATTGGTCCTGGTTCAGAAAAGGAAAAAGAAAAGAAAATTCAAACTTACTATTTCAAGGGAGCAAAACAAAGTCTCAAACACAACATTACCTTGTGGCAAATGTCCTGGGCTGAGATCTAATGGGGGAGAAGGTGGCCTGCCTGACCTTATCTCCTGTTATTCCTCAGATCAATAATTCAAATTAGCTCTGGCTCCTGCTCTTCTGAAGTCGGCTGTGAAAACCAGGCTAATGCAGTCAATGCAAGCTTGTCCAGCTCTGACGGGGTCGTTCCAACTCAAATTCAATGGCAAACACCTCTGAACTCTACAGGCTAGTTGCTGGATTTCAAAAAATTGTCAGGAGCTTCTCTGAGGATAACACAGACATAACTCTGTCCACATTGGTCATTTCTTTCCCTCATGTTCTCTTTGTAGAGATGCAGACCTCCAAATCTGCAGCCCTTAACCACAACCAAGGCCTGGTTATTCAGCAGCTAAAGCTTACCACAACCTTGGCTGGTACTTACCAGAACCAAGGTCAGGCTATTCAGCAGCTGAAGCTTACCACAACCTTGGCTGTAACTTACCACAACCAAGATCAGGCTATTCAGCAGCTGGAGTTTTGTGAACAGGCAAGAGCCTTTTTTTTAAAAAAAAAAAAGGCAGACCAAAATGTTCTGGGCATGGAGGCAAAGAGACAGTGTTCAAATCCATGCTCCATGATTTACTAGCAAGTGCTTTCGAGCAAGCTATTTAACCTCTTGGAGCCTCAATTTTCTCATCTATAAAAAAAGAGGCTGTCGTACAGATTTCTCTGCAGAGTAGAGAAGTGAGATAATCAGCTTAAATAAGAGACCTGAAGCAGTCTCTAGCACACAGTAGGAACTCAAGAAAACCCAGATAAGGTTGGGAACAGAGGGTCCAATACAACTGGCTGAAAATGTGGCAGGAGCCTTTTCCTGCAGGCCTGGCAGATCCTTTTGTTGCATTTAACCTCCCAGGTCATGTGGACACTTACTCAAAGGTAAACACTAACAATGACCATAATTCTTGCTGGGCACTTGGGGAGAAAAGGGGTAGAGGTAGCATTATTATTCCCCCGCTGACTGCCTCTTGATGCAATAAGAGGAGACAGCTAGAATATAGGGAGCGCTGGGTCTGGGCAGCTGGAGTGGCAATGTACCAGAAAGCAAATAAAAAAGGCAACACCTTATGTAAATGATTTTAAGTACTTTTAAACGGACAAGCAGGGGAAAAGAGCACGTTAAATTTCACCCCCTTCTGCAGCAATTAGATTCCACTGGCTTTAGGTCTGCAGGTCTCTCAAGGCTGGTTACTGCTTCTAAAGCAAGCCAAACACTCTGCCTAACTAGGCAGGCAGGAGGAATATTCGTACTTCTCAGTGTACAATCAGAAAAGCCAGAGGCCATTAAGGAATGAGGGCAGCCTCCTAAACAGGAACAATTACAATGTGTGTGTGAGTCACCCATGCAGGCAGCATCCCCTGGAACCCACCAAGAGTCCAGAAACAGATCTGTCGTTGCAAGGAAGCCAAGTCCCTGAGCAAGATTAGGAAGTGCTTGGCACCAGCAGTACTATCAGCTTCTGTTTATGACACAAGCTGAAAGAAGTTATGCTTTACTTAATCCTACTGAAAATAAGCTTTTAGAAGCAGGAATGAAGGATGGCTACCACACTGCATCATTTCCTATTTTCAAGTTTCATTTCTAGGATGGCTTGTCTCCACAAAGTATAGGGATCTGTGCCTCTTGCACACAGTAGGCATTAAGGAAATATCTGCTGGGTGAGTATGCATGCATACCACAAACATAAGAGGCCTAGAACAAAGTATCTGCATCCATCCAACCTAAAGCAAGCACTGATCAAAAAAAGAATTCACTTGAAAAAAATCCTGTATTATTGGTAATTGCTGCCGTTTACAAAATATTGGTATCTGCAGTTGGTTACCAAAATGCTTTGCAATTAGCAACTCATTAACAGAATGTACAAATTCTGCCAGTGCTAAAATATCATGCTGTGAATTTAATAAAGAACATGTGAGGTGGTTTTTTTAAAGATAGTATTGCCTCCACCCTTCTCAGAAAGAAAGAGGGAGTGAGAGAGAAGAGGAAAGCACTGAAATAAATAGATTTTATTTGTTGATAGAATCATGTCCTCGGGTCACAATATCCTCTATGAGGTACTGATGAAGATCGGCTCTCCTTTGCTCTGAAGCACACTGATATCAACTGCAGTCTGGGAAATGCACTCTTAAAGGAATGATGCTGTTCCCAGAATGCACCAGAGAAGGCAGCCCAGCAGCGGATTTCAAGATGGCTGTAGGCTGCCTCCCAGCTGAGGCAGACAAAGGAGCTGGAGGCCTGTGCCTGGTCAGACCCCAGCCTGCTGGATGGGGCCAGATGAGCAGAGCATTAGCACCAAGTATCACAGATGCATGCCTTTTTCTTTCCTTCCTCCCCCTACAATGCCCCCCCCCCCCAAGCTGCTGTACCCTGGGGATCAAGGCAGCCTTTGTGAAATATAGACAAATGACTCCTCACTGTGCGGGGCTGCGGCTGGGCTCTGCCTGGGAGGAAGCACCACCACCAGCTAAGGAAGCTTTTAATGAGAAACGCCCAAGATATCCATGGCAGAGGCAATCACTCAAAGAAGCTTGCCCTGAATTACATATTTTCTGACTGCAAATTACTTTTAACAGCGTCTCTACCGTCACTTCAATTGACCTTCCTAACAAAAGGCCATTTATTAACTAGCACTACAGTTTTCCGGACTGTGTGGAGCCTCCAGCCAGAAGGGATGGCACCACCGCCGAATACACAGCCACCCAGGGTCACAGGCCAGGCCTCTGAGAGGGAGAAGAGGCCATTAATGGGCCCTGCAAGGTGGAGGAGAAGGAACAGGGTGCCTGCCTGGCAAGAGGCAATATGGACTAAAACACCAGGATCTGCCTGTGCTTCGTCCTCCTGGCTTCATCCTCTGCAGCTCCTCACACACCACTCATTTCCACCTCAAAACCCAAACTGCACCAATAACCTTCCCTTACGTTTTGCATAGTACTTTGCACTTCTCAACAAGCTTTCTCATGCTCTGAGTGGATGTGCACCCCAAACCTGGGAGGTGACTGTTGTTATAAAGAGCCAGCAAGATAAGTACAACTCATAGCAGCCCTATGAACAACAAAAGTGAACCCTGTCCTATCCTGTACCATTCTTATCCCTGACGCGCTTGAGCCTATTGCTGCAGACACTGTGCCAATCCATAAAATTTCCATTTTACAGAGGAGAAAGGTAAGGGGCAGAGCTTTTACACAACATGCTAACAGGGGATGACAGAACCAAACAGGACCTGTAGTTTCTTTTCTTCAGTCTGGTATGCTTTCCTTTTGGCTACACAGAGATAGAACCATGCCTCCAATCAAGAAAACAGTTTTAATGCTAATTATATTTTAAAATGCCAGTGCTCTTGTCTCTAGCCATACTCCAATAAGTCAAGCAAGGGGCGAAAAGTACAGAAAGATAAAAGTAACATGGGATTAATTTTCCTCGTACCTCAGTTTCAAGATTCAACATTTCCCTCATAAATAATTTACAACAATAAAAATGAGCTAAGGCCATGTTTGTGTAGGACGGAGGTAAATTTAGGCCTAATGAGGGAGATCTGAGTACTGCACAGGAGGGAATAGGTTGATCTATAGCATGGGTGTGTGGTGCAGGCGGGATCGACAGCATGCAGGCAGAGTGAACTGGGAGAGCGAGTGATTTCAAGAACCGACCCTCCCAGCTGTGGCTGCATGCAGGAGTCAGTGTTGTGTGGTTGCATGCAGGTGTCAGTGTTGTGGTTGTAATTGCGTACCATAATGCTGAGTATGTCTCATGCCAACCCTATGAACAATAGATCTGAACCCTCTCCTGTCCTGCACGATCCCCATAATCTCTGACACACATGAGCCCACTGCTTCAGTCACTGTGTTAATCCTTCTCGTTGAGGGTCTTCCTCTCTTACACTGACTCTCCACCTTTCCAAGCATGATGTCCCTTTCCAAAGAATAGCCTCTCCTAACAACATACCCAAAGTATGCGAGATGAAACTTCATCAACGTTGTGTCTAAGGAGCACCCTGGCTGTATGTTCTCATATCTGTTTGGATTTCAGTGAAGAAAGTAAAATTTTATCCTAACTTTTAGAATGAAAAAATAACAGCAGTTAGTAATTTTCAGAATGATAAAATTGAGCCAATGTGAAACTCAGTTCTTCACAATGCTAGGTAAGGAAGGTGGTATCTTTAGAGTTCTGCTTTGGGGCAGGAGAATACAACATTGTCCTCTTTTATTGAGAAGATCATCTGGTCCCAAGCCCCTTCCCGATCTCTTTCCCAACTGCACTCTTTAGTCTACCCCTGAAGGCAGGAAGGAGAGGGTGACAGAGGACAGAGATCGAGCACAAGTAGGCACTTATGTGTGCACTGGGATAAGATGAGGAAGGACTGAGATGAGGTATGTTTTGCAAGCCAGGAGGAGTTTTCATGTCATGTTTAATGAATATACTATGTGAAGATGCTGGGTAGGAGAAAGCCTGCTGCCTGCTGCCTGATTTCCCCTGCAATGCTGCAAACAGAGTGCTTCAGAGAGGCCCCAGCTCCCAGCGCTGCAGCACCTCACTGATGCTGTCATCCAAGGTTCATAGAGAAATGAACTTTAACTATAAAGCCCCTTCATACAGACGGCACACTGCTCCCTTGTAGCTGATCAAAGAATTACTATAACAGTGTGCTTAATCCCTAAAAGTCAGCAGTGCTGGGCTTAACTGATGTTGAACATTGTTTCAAAATCAAAGGCGTGCCTCCCGGCCCCAGTCTGGGAGAAAGCTAAGCTACTGTATCACAGTTGAAAACTCAGGGGAACTTTGATATCATCTCTGTTTAATTTCCACAGCCCTCATGAGCCTGGGGTTTATCTCGTTTTATCAAGTCCCACACTGAAATAAAACCCCCGCTAACAAAGCT